GTTGTTTTTTTTTGTTGTTTCTTGATTTGCCGGTCGAGTATGGCTCAGAGGTTTTCGATGGGGTTCGTGTCAGGAGATTGGCTCGGCCAGGGCAACTTCTGGATACCATTTTCTTCCTGCCACTTTTATGTGTTTCTAGTAGTGTGACACGGTGCTCCATCTTCCTGGAACAACGTTGTGTTCTTGTCCACGAAACCCGAGGAATAAAGTGGCAAGAGTCCTTCCTCCAATATTTCGACGTATTTCGCAAAATTTATGTTGCCAACGCACTCCACTAAGCTTGATCTCCCACCAACACAAACAGCTCCCCAAACCATCACGCTGAAACCCCCATGCTTCACAGTTGGCTGCGATCTGTTGAGCCAAAACCCTTGGTGAGGCATTCCCTAGACCAATATCCTTCCACTGTCCGAAAATTGAGCGAATCTTGATTCGTCTGAGAACAATACGGTCTTCCAAAAGTCCAAAGGCTTGGTCATCATATCACTTGCCCACTTCTTTCGTCTGACTATGTTGGCAGTCTTAATAAGGGCTTCCGTCTAGCTGCTCTGCAACGATAACCCAATCTGTGAAGAATCCGTTGAACAGATTTCGGGCTCATCCCACCAACTTTGGCCACTTTTGTAGTTGTTAATCTGGGATCCATTTCGATGCTTCTCTTGACAGCCCTTTTTGTCCTCTCCAATGGACCAGGACGACCCGGACGCTGCTCAGTTGTTTTCTTGCCGTGTTTCCTGAACTGCACGATGATTCTGTTGACTGTCGAAAGCGGGATTCCCAAATTGTGCGAAATTTATCGCTGACTTATTTCCACCATCTGCTTGACCAACTATCCTTCCTCTAACAAAATCTGACAATTCGAGAGAACCTTGAGTTCTAGGCATGTTGTAGCTAAAGATAATTAGTGTGCGGACCATTTTCATTTATATAGTGCTCTGTGAACACAAATTAGTTAGCATAAATCAGTTAAATGACGAAAAATTAGGTGTCTATTTACTTGTGACCACTCAGTTTATATGCAGATAATTAATGAAATACTTATACATCAAATTTCGTATTGTTGCTTATTTGAAATTTAGAGAGAAAATCCTATCTTCCATTCGTTTAATAGTGGTAAGTTTAAACCTAACTTTATTATGCTGGGCTTTGTTCTGAGGTATAAAATATAACTATAGAAGATTTGTTTTCATTATCATCAGCAATGGTATGGTTGGAGTGTGAAGTAACTAGTTCTATTTAAATGTTTATAGTTTTGCTTGAGATTTAGAAAGTAAGATATCAACTAGTTACAGACGGTGAAAAATAGTTTTTGATGAGAGGCTTGTAAACAGACGCCAAAAATTGATAATTGGTGTACACACACACACACACACACACACATATATATATATATATATATATTGTTACGTCTCT